TTAACATTATTCCAACAGGCTGCACTCACAGGAATTCGCCTCGCCAAGCGGCTTGGATTATCCTCCTTAACAATTAAAGGGGATTCTGCAAATGCTATAGTTTGGTTACAGGATAAGGGAGGGCCCACTTTTTAGCTGAAGCCAGGGACATCCTAGACTCCATGAATGTGAAGTTGGTCTGGATTCCTAGGGAGCAAAATTCTGTTGCTGATTTCCTAGCAAAATCAGGGGTCTCTAGAGATTTCTTGTTTGGTGACAGTTGTTTGCCTTTGTAATCCGGCCAAGCCTCTCTTGGCTTCAGTACATCCTCTCATGTACTTCTGTTTGTTTCTTCTTTAATAAAAAGTTACCTTTGTTTCAAAAACAAAAACAAAAAAAAATCTTCCAGGAATGGTATTTGTCAATCACTTATGTTTCAATGAAAACTAGGGGCCCACACCACTTAGCCATTGAGCATCCCCACGAACTCACTAATCAGCCCATCCTTGTTAGAAACAATGGAAAACAGAGAGGGGAGAACCTCACAAAGTGGTCGATCTGAACACCAAGAATCCTTCCAAAAATAGATACTCCTGCCATCCTGGGGATAATATTTGATAAGCTGCTGGAATGGAATTTAGGCAGTCTAGACATAATCCCTTTCCACACACTAGTAGCATAAGACTATTAAGGATCAAGTGTGGTCCAGTCCATAGATGACCTTTTATACTTGCACCCAATAATCTGCCGCAATAATCGACTCCTTTCTTGACTGAACCTCCACAGCCACTAATTCCAGCTCCACCTTTAGATCTCTAATTCCAGTCTACATGAAATTTATAACCCATTGTTTATTGGATCTTTTTCAATTAAAATTGAAAATAGGAAACAATTAAAAACTTGTGTGGCCATATGAAAAGTAGGCAAAGGCTGCTAGTTTAACTTGTTGATTGTAAATTGTAATTTAACTCTTTCAGTTGTTATATAGTTCTGAGTTTTAACAATAATATTAAAAATCATTATATTTAATGTATATATATATAATAAACTATTATTTATATGAGAAGTTTCCCTGAATCCCATCTGTGTCCATGCAACACTGGTCTCCTTGCAATAGTCTCTGGTTGATCAATCATGCATGAGCTCCAAACAGTGGACTGCTATTTGAAATTGATATGCTATTCATGTTTACAGTGATGATAAGTGTAGCTTATTTTTTATCCATCAAATTACTTAAAAGTTGCTCATCCTACACACATTTTCTTGTATTTTTATAGTGAGATACTCCTTTATTATGTGGTATCTTGTGTTGACATCTATTATTTGGTAAATTGGACAGCTTATACCAGATATTCATTCTGGAGATGATTTTTCAGGAACACCATATGTGCCTATCTATGTTATGCTCACTGTAAGTGAAAGTGATTGTTACTTTCTGATTTGGTTCTTCATTTTTTAAACTTTGAATATGCAGTTGGTGAAGCAGTTGTCTAACATTTTTGTTTTCTGCTTTTTTTTTTTAAAAAAAAGAATTTTGTTCATAGTTGTTATCGGTCAATCTGTTTGGCAAGTATTATAAATCCTCGACTCTTACTGTGGCAGGCTGGTGTTATCAATACTTTCTGTCAGTTGGTTGATCCAGAAGGCATTAGACAGGAGTTAAGACATCTGAAGTCTTTACATGTAGATGGAGTAGTTGTACATTGTTGGTGGGGTATTGTTGAAGGATGGAGCCCACAGAAATACATATGGTCCGGGTATAGAGATCTATTTAACATCATCCGAGAGGTCAAGCTGAAATTGCAGGTAACACAATCCCTGAACAAATCATGTTTTGATTGAGATCCCTTTGTTTATTCAACATGTCCAACAAATATCACATGTATGTTTGTGGGTTTATCGTCTGTTGTCTGTGTTGTGGAAATGCCGGTCACCCAAATATGGGAAACATGTCAGAAATGTCAGAAATATTGTAAAAATTATAGAAATAGTGGAAACATTGCAAAAATATAGTATGATATTTTATGAAATGATAAGAGAAGCATAAGCATACCTTTTTAAATTATTATATTGTTCCTAATCATTAAACAGAGCTAAGAAGCATGGGTTATAGACAAAAATAATACATTTATGAAGTTGTCTTATATACTTTAAGAATCAAAACTACATAATAGAATGAGTTCAAACAAAATTTAAATTCATGGAAAATCCAAATGATTCTAATAGATCAACCAAATGATCTATTACACAAGCACAAACTAATATTTAACTTCATATTTGAAAAGAGTATTGAGCTGGCTCAAAGTGGTAATCATATCCATTAGGCCAGCAATAACATTGCTACTTCACAGATCCACAATATCGTCACCAAATTATGTTATAATGCTATCTTTTGTACTCCACAAAGTGTTAGTGGTGTTCACTAGGGAATATGTCAATTCTAGTAAAACATCAGGTTGATATCCATGGAAATGGAAATATGTCATGGCAATATTAGGAAATTTATGGACATTTTAAACCATGCTTTGAACCTCTTGCCTGATTATTTTCTTTATGGAATACTGCTTTTATGGGCTATGGTAAATATCTTTTGTCCTAGTAGTTGAATGACCTAAAAACCTCTTTTTTTTTTTTTTTGCTTTTTTTGAAGGTTGTAATGGCATTTCATGAATGTGGGGGACACGGTTCTGGTGATATGTTGATCTCTCTCCCAAAGTGGGTTTTGGAGATTGGAAAAGATAACCAAGATATATTTTTCACAGATCGTGAAGGAAGGAGAAATACCCAGTGTTTGTCATGGGGCATTGACAAAGAACGGGTGCTAAAAGGAAGAACTGGTATTGAGGTAATATGTTATGAACTTTGTGGTAGTCTCTATATCTTTTAGAAGGATTTGTGTTGGGAATATGGGCTTTATTTTCTTTTTCATATTAGCTTTTCATTTATTAGTTAAAATTTATGCTACCATATGCATTGCATCTTAGTGTTGCATAAATTTGTGTCTAATATTTAAATTATCTTTGAGATTTAAAAAGTAGCTTTCATGTATTTTTATTATTCATTTGTTATTAATATTATTATTTATATGCAAGGTTCAAAGTATCGATACGATACGGGTTTCGGCCGTATCGTATCGGCACTTAGAAACGTCCGAAACTCTATTTTTTTTGTAGTTTTTTTTTCAAAGTTTTGTTTTTTGGAAAGCTTATAACCTGTTTTTTATTATTAAAAAAATTGGGGGTCCGAAACACCTGCAAACAGGCGTTTTAGACCGTATCGCTTTCAAAAGATACGATACGATATGCCCGATACGGGGTGTATCATATCGATACTTTGAACAATGTTTATATGTGAGATTTTTCTATTATTTGCATCTTTGCATATAACCATGGTTTTCAATTTCCCTAAAACAAAGTGAAGCATCCTTGATATTTTTCCCATTTTCTGAAGAGGTGAAATGAAAAATCCTAGAATAAAAAAAATTACAAATATCTCTTGTTGTTACCCTGATATTTAAAAAGGATTGATACATTAGCAAAATTTTGAATTTGTTATGTGCAAAATATTCTAACTTGTTTTTCCAAAATCAATTGGAAAATATTGTGGGACAGAGAAAATGCCCATAACACATCTTTGTGCAAAACAAAGAAAAAAGTATTTGGATTTGTTGATAACTCAATATTTTGGAGAATAAAGATCATTTTGAATTTGTATTAAATAATTAATTTAATAATAAATAACTCTTTGTAATAATTAATTAAATATAAGTAACATAGTAATCATAATGATAATCCTATCAGTCTTTAAGATTCTGGCTAAGGTGGCTAGTAGGCTGGAAAAACTAATGAGAAACTTTCTTTGGGAGCCGGGAGAGGAGAAGAAGGATCATAGGGTTAGGTGGGAGGTGGTATGCAGATGTAAGAAGGATGGGGGTTTAGGAATTGGGAATATAAGGATTAGGAACTTAGCACTACTAGGGAAATGGCTGTAGAGATTCTCATTGGAGAAAGAAAGACTGTGGGTTAAGATAATGGGAAGTATACATGGGCTAGCAAACAATGGATGGGACTCTGGGATCTTAGCAAGAACTACAAGAGCTTCTCCTTGGAAAGCTATTCAAGCCATCTTGCCCTTGTTCTACTCATGGGTTAGGTATGATTTACACTTAGGTAATCTCATTAAATTTTGGGAACATGTGTGAGTTGGGGACTCCTTTTTGAAAGATCAATTTCCAGGCCTCTTTGCTATCTCTATCCTTAAAAATGAACCAATTTCCTCTTTCCTTGTACCTTCTAATTCACCTTCTGGGTTCGGTTGGAATTTGAACTTGAGAAGAGATGTCAAGGACACAGAGTTAGCATGCATTTTAGCCTTACTATCCATTCTTGAAGGGGTCTTCATTGAGCCATCGAGGTCAGATAGTAGAATATGGACACTCACTCCCTCGGGTTCCTACATTTGTGCCTCTTTCTTCAAGGCCCTTTTACCCTCTTCTCCTATTGGACTGTCTTTTCCTGTTAAAGAAGTGTGGTGTCGACCTATACCTCCAAAGGTTGGGTTCTTCTATTGGGAAGCCTTCCTGGAAAGAGTTAATACAGGGGATCTACTTCAAAGAAAAAGACACAATAGTTGTTTGTCTCCCCACTAGTGTGTCCTTTGTAAGTTTAATGGTGAGCCTGATATTATTTATTAATTTCTTGCCAGTTTGTTAAAGTCATTTGGGAATTGGTTTACTTCTTTGTTTGGATGCAGGTGGACTTCCCCTTCGAATGTGTAAAGCTTATTTACTTCCATGCCTAACTGGTCAACCAAAAGGGCCAAGATCATGTGGAGATGTGGTAGGGCTGCAGTGTGTTGGACTATTTGGGAGGAGAGAAATTCAAGGGTATTTTCACATAAGGAGAGAAGCTTGGAAGCAACCCTGGAAACTATTCACATTAGGGTGATTCACTGGTTAAAAACCTTGGAATTGTTTGCAGTGTTCTCAGTTGATGAGATGACCAGAAAGTGGAAGGAGATTGCAGAGTTAGGCTCAATCAAGAAGACATCAAATTCTTGCTAGACACCTCCACCTCATGGGTTTACCAAACTGAATTTTGATGGAAGCAGCATGGATCCAGGGCCCTCTGGAGTGAGGGGAGTGATAAGAGATGAAAAAGGGAACCTGTTAGCTATGTATTCTGGCCCAATTGGGGTTGGAGATTCCTTGAGGGCTGAGATCCTAGGAGCTCTTGAAGGGATACAAAGGGCCAAGGAAATGAACTTTAAAAAGTTGATCATAGAAGGTGTTTCTGAAATTGTAGTGAATTGGCTAAAAGAGGACAGTTCTATGCTCTGGAAATACAGCAATGAAAAGAGGAAGTTCAAGTGGCTCACCAAGGATATTGAAATTCGTTGTACATGGATAATGAGAAGTGCTAATGCACTGGCAGATGGTCTAGCTAGGCAAGGGGTGAACAGAAACTCTATGTTTTGGGCTGTTTTGTAATTGCTCCATGATTTGGGGTTTATAGGGTATTTGGGAGTTAAGATTCTTTAGTTCCTTACCTTGTAATTCTGGTTTTCCAAATTATTAATAAAATCCACTGTTATTGATAAAAAAATCATAATGATAATTCATATTCTTATTTAATGCCATAAATGCGCATTTCTACATAGAGATTATAAGAATTACATTTGGCTTTTAGGAATACTTACCTTTCATGACTATAAATTAGATAATTTCCATCAATGCTTTATGACCTTTAATTTTCTATTGTTTGTTGTACATGGTGGGTTATGTTTTTTTTTTCCCCGAAGGTTTTGAATGTGTAATATACCTTCTTCAGTGTTTCTTGAAGTTTCATAGAGCACCTGGTAACCAAATTGAGAACCCATATTTCTGGTCAGACCATAAAGCCCCAAAAGAATCAGATAACCTTTAAAAACATTCTAGAACTTGATAATAATTATTTGAAGATCAGACCCCCCCCCCCCAAAAAAAAAAAAAAAATGGAAATCTGATCCAAATTACTATTAATCAATTTCTTGGACATCCTATTTATGGATGTGTTCACGGTTGTTTATGGATTATCTGATTTTTTATATACCTTGGAAACCAAAACCAATCACCAAAGAATTTCTGAAATGGCATTTATTAGAAGAACTGGAAAATTAAGCCTAGAAACACAGGTCAGCTTAAGAAAATGGAGGTACAAATCACAGTGCATCATAGAAGAAAGAAATCAAATCTTATGCAAAAACATGCATGAACACACACAAATTATAGGCAGCAAGATAATGGTGATGCTCCGCTTGTCTCTTGTGTTCAAATAAGTAATCTTTGAATGATTTGACATATTTATTAACAAATGCATAATCGCAAATTTATGCAGGTTTATTTTGACTTCATGAGAAGTTTCCGGACAGAGTTTGATGACTTGTTTGCAGAGGGCCTTATTTCTGCTGTTGAGATTGGACTGGGTCCTTCTGGGGAGCTAAAGTACCCTTCATTCCCAGAAAGGATGGGATGGAGATATCCTGGTATCGGTGAGTTTCAGGTATCTGTTTCATTTATTGTTACATTGTACATATCTTTATTTTCTCTCGTCTTTATTTTTTTCTTTTTTATTCTTTTGGTGGGCAAATAAGTTGGTGGTCAGTCATCACTAATCAGTGCTGAAGACAGGATTTGAACCTAGGTTTGTGGTACAAATCTCCTAGAAAAAGGGATTTAGCTATCTGATTGCCTCTCTTGTTGCTTGGATTGTCTTGAGAAACATTCTTAGGTATAATAGACAACTTCTTTTACTTAGTCTCTCTGTTGGAGTAAACCTAGATCCTATGGTTGAATGGCCAATGGAGCAGTCCAATGGTATTATTGAGCTGTCAAATGACATGTATATTGAATAAGAGAAATGCAAGTGCTGTAGACTGTTACAGTCACGACCCTTTCATAAATGAAAGTTAAACAGGATATTTGTTGGGGTTTTCTATTTAGTTATGTCCTTTCACGAGAACAAGGGTTTGCAGCTGGCATTTCGTGTGGAGCAGTGGAGATCTGCTGTGCATAAAGGAGGTTGAAGCAGCCACTGTAAGGATTAAGGATTTTATTCTAGGAAACAAGTGCAGTATTAACAATGTTGAGGTATATTGTCTTAGTTCAACCCTTTTCAAGCAATGACCCTTCTTGATGTCCATGTACCCTATATAGTAAATTTGCACCGAATGTGCAGACATGCAAAATTTACTAGTCAGAAAGTGATTTTTAGGGGAATTCGGACTCTGAAAAGGCTTGGGTGTAGGAGCTGTCATGGATTTGTGTTTGAGCCTGGGTGACTTCTGAGCTAAATAAACCAAGTTGATGCATATAGTCATTATTTCAATTAATGCTTGACGCTCCATTACAACTAGGTTTAGTAATCAGTATCAACATTTTCTATCATTTTATAAAGTTATACTTCATGTTGGTGATCTTGTAAGTAGCATGACACCTAAGCATTTAAAATAGGTTGGTTACTGCATGTTCTTTATGCACATAAACATTCTTTCTTTTCTCTGATTATATGTGCAAAACTATGCAGTGTTATGACAAATATATGCAGCAGAGCTTACGAAAAGCAGCAAAGTTGCGTGGACACTCTTTTTGGGCAAGGGGGCCTGATAACGCTGGCCAATATAATTCCAGACCACACGAAACTGGTTTTTTCTGTGATCGAGGTGATTATGATAGCTACTATGGGCGATTTTTCCTCAATTGGTATTCACAGGCCCTAATAGACCATGCAGATAATGTGTTATCCCTTGCGAACCTTGCATTTGAGGAGACACAAATAATTGTCAAGGTATGCAATGCAACTTTTGTCCCATGAGGTTTATTAACTTAGATGTTCTTTCATTTTTTGTCCAGCACATCTTGTAGTGCTACATATTTAATAGTGGTCCATCTGAGGTGTTCTTCACTGTATTCTTACTTTCTAAATGTTAATTCTTCAGTCAGTGAACCTCTTGGGTTTTCCAGATCCCAAATTCACTATTATCACTATGTTATTAGCTGTTGAACAGTTCTCAATTGGTTTGATTTATTTGGTCCTGTTTCAAACAAGATTTCTCACCAATTTAAGAGTTCAGACTATGTATTGATAAGCCATGTTGCATTTTTCTGAATAGGGTTGTCTACTTCATATGTTTTGTGGGTAGTCTGTTAAAATTGATGTCATAAACAAAGTTTAGTGAAACATAAATTCTCTCTGCTAAAGGATGTGTGGACTCTTCACAATTTGTTTTTATTATAGCTTCCATAACTGTTTTCATTTCTTTTCTTTTTCTTGTCATTTTGCAAATATTTTAACTCAAGTGTACCTTCAGTATTATTCTTATTAAAATATTATAAAATGGGTTTGCAATTGTGAAACTATGCAAAGTTCTTTTCTCTTAAAAATTTCCAATATTTAATCTTTTAGGCTCCATTCACTTTTATTGGAAAAACAAGAAAACACTAACTTTTCTGTATTATTTTTAAATATAAAGATAAGCTTAAAGGGTAAATTCATTTCAAATGTTGCTGAATTGAGCAGCTGAGTATAGAAGTTATTGCTGAATGGAAAGGATATACTGGACATGTTGCCCATGTAGAAATCCTTGTTGGGGGTTGTGTTGCTTTTTTGCTGCTATAAATTTCATCTTCCATGACACTTAAATCAATTTACCTCCTTGTCATGGCCATGGTCTCTAGAGTTAATTACAGGGTTGAATATTCCAATGTGCAGATTCCAGCAATTTATTGGTGGTACAGAACTACAAGCCATGCAGCGGAACTCACTGCAGGATATTATAATCCTACAAATCAAAATGGCTATTCTCCAATTTTCGACATTCTTAAGAAACACAGTGTAACGTTGAAGTTTGTCTGTTCAGGACTGCACGTCTCTCCACAAGAAAATAATGAAGCATTTGCAGATCCAGAAAGTTTGACGTGGCAGGTGATCAATATTCATATTTGGTTTGTTTTTATCCACATTTTTTTTCCTTGGGAGGCTATTCGGTATGTCTCTGTTGCTTGTGAGTAAAACCAGAAAGGTTTCCATTTAGTGACAAGCAATAAAAGGCAGCCCTTCATTATTAATTTATTCTTTCTAAAAGATTGTGTATTGGTTACCTTGTCATTATTGTGGTATTTAAAGAACCTCATTTCCACGCCTGATATCGGGGGAATTTATGATGTTAACTCATTTCTCTGCTACAAACAGAAATAGCATGTGTTTTATCCAAATCAGTATCTAAGATTTGGTATTGAACTAGATTGTTGGAAGAGGAGTAGCAAGAGCAAGGAACTAAGGGACAATTTAGTTTCCCTGGACAGGGACGTTCCATCTGTAGATGATCACAGGATTCAAGAGGCCAAGTTCTTAATTATGATACCTGGATACTTATACATGCTTAGGTACCGGTGAAATATGATATTGGAGGCCAAGTTCTTAACATATACCTGGATACTGTATATGTTAGAAGTTTAATTTATATGACATGATATTAGTTTTGTAATTGAAACCTATCTTTGGAATTAGATACAGAAGCATGATATAAGCATATTAACTGGACTCTTACCCAAATGTGAACAGGATCTTAATGGAGTATGTTTCCTGTAGCCGTGTCTGTCATTTTCCATATCTTAGGCATTATTGGTTCTTGCTGTGACTAATCTACCTTCTTTGGAAGGATACAATTTCTCCATTACATTTACAAGTAGAATGGAGAAAAACAACAGCAAGTCTTTGCATTACCTGGGTAAAGTCTGAAAAATCCATGCTTATAGGGAAAGAAGAAAGGAGAAAAAGGAAACATTATTGCCATGACAGGGAAGCTGTTGTAGTGGGAAGCAAAACACAATCTACTTGGATTCTAATTTGTGCAATTACAAATGCATACATACATACATTTATATAACTAATCTCCATTGTATCCTGCAGGTCCTAAATTCAGCCTGGGATCGGGGATTGACTCTAGCGGGTCAGAATGCAGCTCCGTGCTATGATAGAGAAGGGTACATGAGACTCCTGGACAGTGCGAAACCTAGAAACAATCCTGATCACCGCCACGTGTCGTTCTTTGTGTATCAACAACCTTCTTCTCTGCTTCATAATGGGATTTGCTTCTCGGATTTGGATTCTTTCATAAAATGCATGCATGGTAAGTCTTGCTAATTTAGAAATCATCTAATTGTCTCGGCTTATATAGAAGTTTTGGAAAATGAATGGTGGAAGTTTTTCTGTCCATTATCAATCAAAATAGGATTCTGTTCGTGATGGATGTAATTTGGTAACGTAGACTGTTCAACTGGTAGGCTTTGTTTTCAATTATTTTGAACCCTTATGACTATATGCCCTAGGCTCTACTTTTCAGGAGAAATTGCAGGTGATGTACAACCATGATTTGACTGAACATTCATTGCCAACTTCTTGTGCTTATGCGGAAAGTGAAGAAAAGGAAAAGGAGCAAAGAGAAAGAGTTACTGGTTCTAAGCATGAAATATAGGAGAAAGTAAACCCTTCTGTATTCTTATTTAAATGTTCTTTCCCAAAACAAAACGATTCCTTGGTTTCCTTGTATCATGCTCCATGCAATTCAATCGTTGGTTGTGTTTTGGTTCCTTCACCCAATTTCATTTTACAATTGCACGGGTTGCATGATCCATTCTCAAGACACTCGGTCGTGGCAAATGCAAAATCAGGAAAAAAATCACCCGACTTTTTAGAGTATTCGTATCAAAATCGAGTCACTGGTTTCAATCTAATTTTGAGTGTTGAGTTGGCCCAGGATTTGTACCATCGAAATGCAGTATATGCTGTATCAAACACTAAGGCTGTGTTTGGTTGCAGTGCAAATTTATTTGCACAAGTACAAATGCATGGGAGTGCAAATTCTTAGTTTAATTTTGTTTTGAATTTTACTTTATTCTGCTTCAGGTCTTAACTTATTTCATTTTACTGCAATGAAACAAAATAAACTAAAATTTGAAACAAAAATAGGTCAGAGTTTACACTAAAATCATTTGAACTGCCATGGTTTTGCATCAGTGCGTATTTATTTGTATTGCAACCAAACACAGCCTTAAACAAAAAAAACATTACATAACACAGGTTCTAACTATTCCGGTGTTGAATGTCACCAAACTGATCTATCCTTGAAAATTTTTGGCTTTCTGCACTAGGGTTGTGTTTGGTTTGAAAGAAAAGGTAAGGATCAAACCAAACACAGCCTAATATAAACAAAATTTGCATTATCAAAAAAGACAACTAAACAACTTGAAAATTCAATATTTCCAAGGGTACAACTCCGGAATTCCCGCCTAAAAGAATCCACCAGAATTTCCCGGACAACCCTTCATAGCTAATTTTGAGTCTGAAAAGATTGTAATAATCTTCCATTCATTCTTGAACTTTAGCAAGAAGACATTCCAAAACAACTCCTTTCAGGGGGGTTTGAAACTTTATTCAACTTCCCACCTGCAGCCACCGGAAACTTTCCATTATTAGGGAATACACAAAAAACCATACGAGGTAATAGAATTTCTCTGGTTCTATATCTAGCCCTCTTCGAAAAACCAAACGATGCAATGGATTTCCTATTGGGATACAAAACCAAATTATTATCAAACTGGGGCCTATGGTTGCTTGCAAAATTGTGGTCTTGGGAGGAAGCACTGGGTCTGGGTGAATTCAAGACCCGAGAGACCTAGCACAAAACCCAATTGCAGGAGCGATTAATGTTTGAGAACAGTCATTCTTCCTGGCTTTTCAAACAAAACACCACATTACAGCTAACCAGGCTAAGAAACAAATGGAATTGTTTCAGCAAATGGAATTGGGTTAAATCCTGAATGGAGTTATTATCAACCACCAACTTCCCAGGACTTGCAAAAAGAATAACTCTCACAAAAAGGCATTACAAAAAATAAATGACAAACAGTTTCAGCAACATCATGACACAACGAACAGCTATCATCCTGGACGATGCCTATTTGTAACAATAAAACCTCTCACAAGTATCTGAAAAGTTTATAACTTGGGGGAATCTTGAGTTTCCAAATTATTTTGATCCCAGTAGTTACATTGCTATCCACCTGCGTATTATTTTGTTTCCACTCAAGCCAAACAAAAATCCTTCACACAAAACTGACCCTTCTGGTTTTTTACCTATACCATTCTACTCTCTGGCATTCACTATTTTTTGGACATCTCTGATCTCTCAGAAAGATGCTGTTCAGAAGGTTAGTTTGCCACTCCTAGATTGTTCATCCACTTGATCTTTTATTTGAAGATCCTTCCATTGAAAAAACACAGGTCCCATGGGTGCTTTAAATCCTTCTTCTGAAGGGATCCAAGCAGTTTGCCAAACATTCAAGTCAGACCTCGAGTGGATTTGAACTTGTATATCTGTGAACATGGAACGAAGTTCCCGACGTAAGGTCTTCCAAAATGGTGAGGCAGACTCTAGGATTTTCCTAGGGACTTGGTTAAGTATTTACTCTGTAACAACTTAACCAATAGAGTCTCTTTCAGACAAAAATCTCCACCCAATCTTACAGATTAGAATCCTATTAACAGTTTCCATCCTTTAAAAACCTAGACCGTCCATTTTGCCCATTTTAAGTGCCCTTTACCTTACAATTCATTCCACCAAAAGGCTTTTTGAATTTCCCAACAATGGGATGGAACTGATTGAAGAACAGATTGCACTAAAACTTCTTTCCTGCATAGGATAAAGATACGTCTTTCCAACTATTCAATCTGCTTTTTTAGCTTGTCCAAAATAAATTCCAAAGATTTTGCCTTATCCCTTTTCCAAAACATTGGTATACCCAAATATTTGACATTTGCATCTGACTTTCATTCCAAGATATCTTCTTAGCATTCTTGCTCCATTTGGTGGAGTTCTTTGATTAAAATAGACCCCTGATTTTTGAAAGTCTACGCTCGGTCCAGAAAACTCTTGAAATTTGTAGATGAGTTCCACAAAATCTGCTACCTCCACCTTGTTTACCTTCCCAAATAATAAAACAACATGAAAAAAAAAAGTGAAAAATACTAGGGGCCTCTCCTGCTAATTTAGTTCCCAAAAGTTTGCTCTGCTCATTAGCTTTCTTGGTAAGCCTAATAAGCCCTTTCAAGGTTATGACAAATAAATAGGGGGAGATTGGATGCCCTTGCCTTAGACCCCTAGTGAACCCAAAACTACTTTCTGGTGCACCTTTTATAAGTACTAAAACTTTACTGTCAACACACTGGCATGTATCATTTGACACCATTCTTCTAAGAAACCTATAGATTTTAAGACCCAAAGCAGGTATTCCCACTCTAGAGTTATAGACTTTAGAAACTTTATAGTCATAAGCACTTCCCTTAACCATTAGTTTTCATATAATGTGGTAGCTCTTAAATAATAATCACATTGTTGTGTATTTGTTTACTTGGGATAAAGGCTGTTTGCATGGGTGAAATACACTTGCGAAGAAAGGGTTTTAATATATTGGCCATTCATTTAGGCTGCATTTGTTTTCGGTGTAAACTGTTATCAATGTAAAAATACATTGATGGAATTCAATGTCAATGGGTTTAAAATGAGTGAACCCTTGGAACTTTTTAAAGTGTGATAATTAATGTAAATGCTATATCGATTATCATTGTAAAACTCAACTGTGTGTGAGGTTTAACTTCGGCTCCAACCAAATGCATGAAAATACAGATCAAGAATAGAATTTTACACCAGTCCATATTTACACTAAAAACAAACAGCGACAAATTTTACACCAGTCCATATTTATACTAAAAACAAACAGCGACAAATATGCGAGGGTTTTATATCAACTCACATTTACACCACAAACAAATACAGCCTTAGAGATTATAAGCTAATCGACCTAAACTGTTTCACCATGCTTGGGTTTTATCTTATGGATCAAAGTTAAGAAAGTGTGATTAATTCTCCCGATTTTTTTATTTTAAAAACATCCACCACAAACTCATAAACATCTTGCTCCATAAGTTCCCAAAACTTTGGTAAACTAGGTGGAGACATCACTCGGCCCTGGAGCCTTCAAGGCTCCCATAGACATCACCTCTTCTCGGACTGACTTCATCGAAGGAATGTCTGACAACATTTGGTTATCTAGATTATAGATAACTAGGTGGAAAAGGCCCTCTATTGGTTAAAACCAATGTTTTCGAAATCAGACTGGATTGGACAGTCGAACCAGAAAAGCCAGAAACTGGTCATCCATTTTACTCCAAAGCCGCTTTTTAGCCAACAACTGTTTATTTGGTCAACAAACCGTTGATCCAGGCAGTTGAACCATCAAACCATTCGACCTGAGAACGGTTTTTGGCCCTTTTGTGTTTTTAAAAATTTAAAATTTTTTTGTCAGAGCAGACCGTCCATTCAGACTGGATGGTCGGACCATTCAACCCGGGAACCAGACCAGAACAATTTCCTGTCCGGTCTGGTTTTAAAAACCTTGGTTCAAACAAGCCTTCCCTCTGGGAAGTGAATTGGTTTCAAGCGCTTGAATAAAAGTTTGGGCTATCTCCTCATGTTCTGACCTCCAACCTCCATTTTCATACTTTATCCACGAAATCTGATTTCTATGCTTTCTAAAGTTCACAAATTTGTGGAAAAAGGTGTTAAAATCACCATGTTGGAGCCATAGTTGTCTGGACTTTCTGTTTCCAGAAGAGTTATAGCTGAGCAGATGAAGCAGTAATTCCTCACTAAGTTTCTCTAGATTCCAAAATATCTAATTGCTTATTAATTAAGTCCACTCAGTGATTTATATCCCCAAACTTATCCCAACTCCATCTCAATTATTGTTTAGTACCATTCAACTCAGTGATTTATGGCAAACTTTGCTGCTATAAGAAAAGAAGGGTTTTGGCTAAAAAGAATTACATCTAATTTTACATCTTCAATATCAGCAACGTGGGTAACACCAATAGAAACTTGAATTACTGGAGCTCACTACCCTGATTAGTGACAAAGCCACCCGGTTGAAGGTTAAGAACTTGGCTATAGTTCAGAACACAATAATGTTGACCTCTTCCAAAATTTGGTCTTCTGTTTTATCTCTGAGAATCACAGTATTGTGGATAATCACAGCAGCAGGGTCCTGCTCTGACCTGTAACACGTACAAATAATTAACAGCCTTGAGTATGATAAGCACCTCAGAGAGAAAATTAATAAAGCAAGTAAAACAACCAAGTCTGGAATACACCCACCAAGTAGCTAATAGAAAATACTCAGTATCAAACATATATTTCTCTAGTTGCAAATATTTTGAACTCCGATCTGTTCTTACCATCCTATCCCGATTAACAATTTGACTTAAATTCCCTACTCTGTTTGGTTTGAAGGAAAATTCAAACCAAACACAGCCAAAAGCACACAAGGTTATCTTGATTCAAACTTTGGACAATATTACCATTTGAGTTGTTACATCTTACATCATATGGAACTAAACAATATTTTCATTTTATTTTTTTGGCCCTAAATGCCACCTATGACATTTACAAGATCAACAGAAATAATCAAATAATGAAGACAATCTAAATTAATATGTTGATGAATTTCAAGTATGCAAGAAACATGACAACAAGGCAATGCAATAGAGGCTAGTTCGCTATAACCATGACATAAGGGAGAAAAGCATTGCATATTAGATATGGAAGACATCTAACCTCTAATAAATAACAGAACAGAGAATGCTAATGCTCAGGTTGAGATATTCATACTTTTTTCTATAATCACTGCCACAATTAGCTGTAGCACTAAGCACAAATGCAGAGACATCAACACTACCACTCAATAGGTCCCACCTAAAAAGTATGCATATACATCAATATTGATCAGAATAGATCATCAAATGTATTCTACTAAGATATTTCTTTAGGTTGGCTACTATCCTATGACAGATTAAAAGTGAGCGGGGAGCATAACTACATCCGATCAAATAAAGTTCTGCTAACAGTTAAAGCCTGGGATGTATAAATTGTCAGTACTAACTAGAAAATCTTTCCAAGGAATAAATTCCCGTACCTTACGAAAAGTAAAGGAGACTCTTCTTGAATTTCTTCTGATAATATTGTCCCCCACCATATCAACCTGTATCACAAGCATAGCCAAGTGAACATCTTCTAGAAATGAAATTAGCAGTGCTAAAAAATTCAAAGAAATGCCTGAATAGCAAGTAGCAACATGCCAACATCACTATACAAAAGAATCCTAATTACCAGACCAAGATAATATATATATATATATATATATATATTCATATTTAATGATTTATTTGCTAAATATTGTGAACAAATAACAGGCAGATAATTACACAATGTACTCAAAACTATACGATATGAAGTTATTCCTTCTATCCTAATCTTAAACCACTTCCACTTCTATTTTTCATCCTGAATGAGAGGAGGCTTGCTTCTGGCTTGAGAATAACATCTTGAAAACCAAATAAACAAGTGCCATAGTGAGAATAGACCTGCATAGATAATTAGAACTATTCTAACTTTCTGAGACTACCATGGATGGATTGTCTATGGACCCTGTTGAATTCTGTCAAAGATTCTGGGCATCAGTACAAGATTCTCAACACTACCACCAGAGTTCACATTGCTCATCAGTGAAGAGTGTATGTTGTTAGGGTCGGATATGATGTCCATGGGTCAAAAAAAAGCAAAGAAACTAAAGTATATTACGTTTGCAATTTAAGAAAAAAGAATATACCACCTTTAGCGTTCTCCATATTGAACAAATAAATGCTTGGACACTACCATTTCAACTATACATGTTCATAAAACAAAAAATTCTACTTCCCAATACCAATGGGTTCACTAATGAAACTATTTCCACCATTTAATATACATAAATGCACAGGGACAGAGATGCTAATTAGGTTGCCAAGTGAAGGACTCTAAACAACTAAGAAATCTTCCATGTAGCTATCTGCTACAGGCCAAAAAAATGTCACATGTTCATCTTGGCACCTTTGATTTTTGGATTTGAATGGTAACTTCTGATAGATATCACTTATTTGATTTGAACTGGCTCTCATCACCAACAAGGAGCAAGATGTCATTCAGGTATACAGGATAGCAATGTCATAAACTATTTGGCAACAACCTACCTTTGGAGTGGACTCCTGAGATAACACATCCACAAGTCAACTTGCTTATCACTCGTCAACATATGCATCCAATTTAGTTACCATATCAATCAGATGGATTTACCGAAATCTCCATCATGTCAATTTACCCTATTCATAAATTCTCACTCTATGGCATTGATCAAAAAAATAAATAAATTCTCACTCTACGGCAGCCAAAGAATTCACATCAACCTCACCTTTGGAGTGGACTCCTGAGATAACACATATCCACAAGTCAACTTGCTTATGACTCGTCAACATATGCATCCAATTCAGTTACCATATCAATCAGATGGATTTACCAAAATCTCCATGTTATGGGCCCAGGCGTAGGATCTCATCACGGGTCGGTCCACGGGGAGAACCTCTAGCTTCCCCTTGCCCCTCCCTTTGCGTGCAGACCCTATCGCGGCGACCTAAGGGTGATTTGTTCAAGAGATCACCCTAACTCTCCTAAACTCTTTCCTTGACTGAAAATTGAATGCCTTTATTCTCAATTCGCATCTCCTTAAGTAGGAGATTACAAGAAGTGGGAAGGACTCCCTGTAGAATTCGACTACTTACAGATAAAGATAAATCACACCTTAAGATCAATCAGACTCCTACTTCTAATAGATAAATCAAACTCTAGAAGATAAGGAAAACTACTAAGGATAAGATAAGATAAGCTGAGAGCTGATAAGATAAGCTGCCGCCTTGTGGGCCCCTCCTCACTGCTGCTGCCGACGGCTGTACGTCCTCCCTGCTAACGCATCCACAACATTACACCCCTCCTAGGCGAGACCCGTGGAGTTACACCCTGATCTGAGATCCAGCTTTGAGAAGTACTGAGACCCGTGGAGTTCATCCAGCAGTTCGTCTACCACGGGAATCGGAAATTTGTCCTTGACAGTTCTGTTGTTGAGTTCTCTGTAATCCACACAAAACCTCCAGGTGCTGTCTGGCTTCGGTACCAATAAAACCGGCGAAGAGAAGGGGGAGCGGCTGGGGCGGATGATTCCTTGTTTCAACATTTCTGCACATTGTTTCTCTATCTCATCTTTTTGCAAATGCGGGTAGCGGTATGGCCGGACAACGACGGGTTCTGATCCTGGTATTAAAGGAATCCGATCGTCACACGATCGGGCAGGTGGGAGTCCCTTGGGTTCTTGAAACATGTCAGGGAAGTCGGTGAGAAGTCTCTCCATCTCTGCGGTGTGCATGGCTTCGCCATGGAGAGTATGCACCTGTGGTCTTTTTGCCTTTACCCTGGTTCCCTGCCAGGTGATTGTTTTCCATTCAGGTGGAATGACATGGTTAGGGCACTGAAGTCCCATAGGATAGGGCCTAGAGTGATGAGCCACTTAACTCCAAGCACTATATCAAACTCGTCCAGGGGCAATACAAATAAATCAGCGGAGAAGGGTTCGGATTCGACCTGTATTTGGATGTTCCGACAGATTCCAGGGCTGTGAACTCTCTCCCTATTTGCGACGGCTACCTGAAGTTGTGGTCTACTTTCCACCGGTAGTTTCAATTGAAGTGTCGCTCGCTTGCTGACAAAATTGTGCGTGCTTCCCGAGTCCACTAGAATACATACTGGTTTTCCTACCACCTGTGCCCGCAGCTGCATGGTTTGAGAGTTCTGTATCCCGGTGATGGCGTGGAGGGAGATCTCGGGTTCTAGTGCTGTGGGTTCCTCCTTGTCTTCCTCCAGTTCGTCTACCAGGAGGCAGAATAGCCGCTTGCATCAGTGCCCGGCTGAGTACAGCTCGTCGCAGTTGAAGCATTGCCCTCTTGCCCGGCGCTCCGCCATCTCAGCTCTAGATAAGCGTTTGATGGGAGGTGCCGTCATGCTGCTTCCTATGTTGGGTGCCGATCTGGAAGTGCTACTTGTGTGAACCCTTTGTTCCCTGCTGGCTGCCAAAGAAGACCCTCCTCCAATTGTTTTCGGGTTTGTCCATGAAGTCGTTGAACGCCCCATGCTGAAAGACCCTCGGCAGATTTGTAGCTTGTGCTCGAAAGCGCGAGCTAGGTTCACGGCGGTGACCAGGTTGGGAGGGCTCTGCATTTCTACATCGACTCTCAGGGGCTCGGCTAATCCAGCGGTGAACATATCCACCTGCTGATCTGGGCGCACTGAGGAGGCTCTGGCGAGAAGGGTCTGAAATTGCCACTGGTACTCGACTATGGTCCCGGTCTACTTGAGGTTAATTAACTCTCCCAATGGGTTGCTTGTCAATGGGGACCCGAACTGGAGGAGGCAGTAGGACTTGAATTGGTCCCAGCTGAGTCCTGGTTCCTCCTGCTCTACCCGGTAGAACCAGAGCTGTGCTTCTTCTGTCAGATGAAATGCGGCCAGACTGACCTTATCCCTCTCCTCCGTGCGCTGATTGCAAAAGAATTGCTCACAGCGATACAGCCATCCCAATGGGTCGCCACTGCCGTTGTATGAGGGAAACTCCAGTCGACTTTACTTGGGCATGACCGCTATTGTTGGGGTGGCGATCTGTTGTTCGCCGGATGCCTCCGCCAAATCTGGTCAGCGGCGGTTGGTGGTGGTCACCCCTTCAGGGCTCCTCTCCCTGGTGGAGAAATACAACTCGAGTAGGCGACGAAGCTCTCGGACATCTTCCTTGACTTCTCTCACTTCCGCGTGGTTCTCYACGAGTCRGTGTTCCAAKTCGTGGACCCTGGATGATAGCTGCTCCATATCGCCCATGACGTTTGGCTCTGCTACCAAAATGTTATGGGCCCGGGCGTAGGATCTCATCACGCATCGGTCCACAGGGAGAACCTCTAGCTTCCCCTTGCCCCTCCCTTTGCGTGCAGACCCTATCGTGGCGAACTAAGGGTGATTTGTTCAAGACATCACCCTAACTCTCCTAAACTCTTTCCTTGACTGAAAACTGAATGCCTTTATTCTCAATTTGCATCTCCTTAAATAGGAGATTACAAGAGGTGGGAAGGACTCCCTGTAGAATTCGACTACTTACAGATAAAGATAAATCACACTTTAAGATCAATTAGACTCCTACTTCTAATAGATAAACAAACTCTAGAAGATAAGGAAAACTACTAAGGATAAGATAAGATAAGCTGAGAGCTGATAAGATAAGCTGCCGCCTTGTTACGGTTCAGCACAGGCTTAGCCTTGCCTACGCTTGGCAGGCTTACGTTAGGGACATGCCCGTCATTTTCGCCTGTAAGATTTTTGGGA